TTTAACCAATAATTCTTAAAGTGAGTAGCTGAGTTTTTCTTCCCAAATACACCAACAGAAAAGCACTAACACCAATGTTTGCTTGTCTCCTTAACTTAAAAGGTTACATTTTGCTTCTGGTATCCTAGATGTTAGCCTTCTCCCCCATCCCCACCCTATCATAAGCAAAATGACCTTGAGCTCCATTTTGCTACCTAATCTCTAATGAAATTCTTAGATCATCTGAGTTTCAGGGCCAGTCAGTTCAAAAATCACCAGTTTTTCCCTGCTGCATATAAAATCCTCATCCTGGCACTTAAAACCCTTTACAACCTGGCTATCACCTAATTTTTCCAACTCTGCTATATATAACAACTCATAGCCTATTTCATGTTCGAGTCAAATCAGCGTTTAAGCTAGCATTCTCAGATAAGGTTTCATCTTTTCTGGGCCTTTGTTAAATCTAGACCCTGCCACCCCCACTTTTCAACAGTGAACTATACTCCCTCCTTGCTTCCATGCAGTAGCATCCCTAGCATCCTGCCAGGTACAGTTCAAACGTTAGGGCCTTCCCTTGGTTGATTATGTACAATTTATCTTATATATATATCTTGTTTTTGAGTAGTTGTTTGCATGTTTTCTCCCTCATTATGAGCTCCTTGAGGGCAGGGACTATCTTTTGACTTTCTTTGTAACCCCTGCATTTAGCACAGTGTCCGACACAGAATAGGAACTTAATGAATGCTTGTTAGCTGTCACTGGAGCTCAAATTCCAGCTTCTAGAGGAAGTCATTGCTGATGGCCAATTGTGTTACTGCTCTCTTCCTTTTAAATAGGAATAGTGCTGGGAACTGGAACTCTAATGCCCTTTACATAAGGAAGTCCCAAATGAGAAATATTCCTCTTCCAATGATGGTTAGTACCTTCTCTTCAACTTGTCTCTTACAGTGTTGCCCAGAGCAGTGAGAAGTCCCCGCCCAAGGTCACACAGTATGTATCAGAAGTGGGATACAAACCCAGTTCTTCCTGGTTTTAAGACCAGTTCTCTATCAACTACCCTAGTGCTTCTAAAATTGACACATCACTTTTCATTCATTTATGTGTGTCTATCTTATATCCTTTTTCTCCTCTTCCCCTGAACCGATTTTTAAGTTCATTGAAGTCAGAGGCTATTTGGGTTTGCTCCTTCTATTCCCAGGACCTAGCACAGAGCTTTGTTCGTGGTAGGTGCTTTTTTTAAGTTGTAACTACTCTTGTTACATTGATGTGATATTTGATCCTTGATAAACCAATGGGCCAGCATCCAAAGAGATTGGCCTGAATATCATCGAACACCTCCTCAACCACTCCTAGAACGTGAAGGGGAGACAGAGGACACTCTTCCCATTCTATAAAGAAGAAAATGGAGACAAGATTCGCATAAGATCTTTTCCCCAGGACCCTGGACTGTGTCTCTATGGTGCCTGGACTCCAAAGCCATTGTTCTTTCAATGACACTTCAAAGCAGTCATTGAAGAAAGACTACTTCCTATTATGCAACAAGGTAATTAGCACATTAATAATGATTAACAACATCCAGCCCCAAACTTGAATGGGAAAGCACTGTCTGAGACATAGGAAAACTCCTCAATTAGCCACATCTGTGGAATCTCTCCTGCCCTTTAAAGAGCAGCAAATACCTTAAACAATTGCTATTCTCTGCTAACAAATATTTATGTTGTCTTTTATCACCAACCAGGGTTTCATTGGAGTGTTACTCTTAGTTTACAATCCCCTTCATTGTTAGCCATGGAAGAGCAAAGTTACACAAAATGTTGTCTCTCCTTAGTGACTTTTTAGATGCTTAAAACCGACATCTGGGGCACATCAGCTATGATTTTGAAATATATTTATTTTACATGCAGCAAAATACTACATAAATATATGCATACATATATGCATACGCACATCTATACATACATATATATATATATACCTATACTTATTCACATATGTGTATGTGTGTATGCACGTGTGTGGAAGGGTGTGGGTGTAGGCAGCAAGGTGATACATGGGATGTAACCCTAGGCCTGGAGTCAGGAAGACCCAAGTTCAAATCTTGTTCAGCCATTTACTAGTTATATGACCTTGAGCAAGTCAACATACTTCTTTTTGTCTGTCTCAATGTCCTCAACTGTAAAATGGGGATAATAATAGCACCTACCTCTCAGGGTGTTTATGAGGGCCAAATGACATCATATCTGTAAAGCTCTCAGCACAGTGCCTGATAATAGAAGGTGATTAATAAATGTGTGTTGCCCTTTACATATAATTATTGTGTATACTTAAAATTATTATATATTGTTATATGTATTTATATGCATTCCATCTAAAACACATACATATATGCATGTACATGTATATATGTGTACATGTGTGTATACATACATATTTCTTCTCAGTTGTTGAATTATAGAGTCATTAATAACTGAACCATTCCAGGAGGCAGATGCATATCTCAACCTCCTTGGCATGCTTCAAGATTAGGAAAAAAGAGATTGTAAATGTATTCTATGTATCACACTGGGCAAGGTAATAACTCTAGAGCAATTCCAGAAACAAAATGTCTTTAAACACTCCAATAAGTTTTTGCTTATTGTATAAATATGGCATGGGATGAGGGCCAAAAATGCTGCCTGAAATTGCTAATCATGGCATACATTGTTTAAAAGGTTTCATTTTTTAATAGCACTCTGAATATGCAGAAGATAGGCACACAGGGAATGAGAGGTGAGTGGGAAGTGGTCTAGGGATCAGTACTTGGAACCGTTTCTTCTCATCTGATGCTACCTTCTCCAAAGGGCCTTTTCTATTTCCCCCAGCTGTTGCTACTTCTCCTTATCTTTCCAAGCAAAATTACTTCGTATATATTTTGCATTTACCTACCTGTGTAACCTAGTAGAATATAAGCTTCTCGAGGGCAGGACTGGTTTTGATCTGTTCTTTGTATCCGTAGCACCTAGCACAGGGTTTGGAGTATAGTAGGTGTTTAATAATAAGTGCATATTTAATGGAATTGAACAGGTAGTCTCTACATCTTCCTACAAGTGGGATTTGTGTAGAGGTACACCACAGTGGCAGGAGTTTGTACTGCACCACTGATGCTGGACAGATTGGAAACTCCAGGGCTCCAGAACTCATTTTTTTTTTAAATTAACTATACTCTACTTTTTATGTCCAAAACTTTTGACATCTGACCCTTCCCCAAGCTTAGATGTTTGGCATCAGAATATTACTCAAAGTACACAGGTGTTCCCAGAATTAAAGTTTTCTTCTGTTTTCTCTCTTTCTTTTTTAATCATGTTTTACTGATACCTTCTGTTTCACGTCCAGTCTTTTCTTGATAAACCTCCACACTCATGTCTATGAGCCCTCTCTTTTAATCAAGAAAAACAGTTCAGTAAAAGTACACACGGTTTTTTAAATGCATTTCTATAACTACTTTCACTATACCTTTGAGATTAGTTATTGCCTGATTTCCTTCCATTTATTCTTTTCATTTATTAAATTAAATGTATAACAACTTAAAGCATCCTCTCTCACGTATCTTCAGATATGAGATGAATCTGCTTTATAAGGTTGCTCCTGAATCCCCACTTGTTAACCCTTAGCCTTTCTTCACCTACATGTTCTTCAAACTCATTAATTCCCTGGGACTGAATTCTTGAGAAGACCGAAAGCCATCTGGCCTAATCCTGACAAGACTTCAACACTCTTCAATGCTACAGTCAAAGAGGTGTTTAAAATTGATTACTAAACAGTCTGAAATCATTTAAAATGCCTTAAATAGCAACTAACTCTCTCCTTCTCCCATCCTGACAACTTGGACAAAAAAGAGAAGAAAAAAAAAGTGGTGATCAGTGTCTGAAAGTCAATGATCATGAGCTATACCAGACTGCTAAGAGCTGGTTGATGGGGTTAGGAGGGAAAAGGGGAGGGGGACAGCTGGAATTGAACATCTGGCTTCTAGCTGAAACTAGGAATCATTTGCTTACACATTCTGGCCAAATGGACAAAGGAAATAGCAATTTATATCTCCATGACAGGAAACTTCTCTCCCTTCCCTACTGAGGATCATTAGTGAAAAGTCAGGAAAGAGTTCAAGGCTAATCATATGCGCCTTTACAAAAACTCACACAGCCACACTTAAAAACCCAAATATGGAGTAAGAGTGTTTGACACAGATCATGGCCCCTTTTCATTCTTTGTTTTAGTTGAGAAGTTCTCAATCCTGGATAAAGAACTATACTTCCATACCCACAAAGACATAAATGCAAATGACATGTGTCCATGTATCTATACACAAGTTATCAGAATTTTCCCATAAACCCTATGTATGCTATAAATTGCTCTCTGCCTAGAAAGGCAATTTTCTTTCCTGAAATAAAGGGAGCTTTAGCCAGCAAGGTCCAGTGCCCTCATTCCTAAATCAATAACTGACCAATAGCTCCCAAGAGCATCACTGGAGGTCCTCTCAAAGTACGTGAGGGTGATGCCCTGCTTGTAACCCCAGGAAGAATCCCTCCACAAATTCAAAGCTAAAATGAAAAGCAGGCCCAAACAGCAAGCTTAGAGGAAGCTCATTTCCCTGCACAGACCCACTTGAACACACTACCATGAGCTTTCCAAAGCACGCAAAGGAGAATGCTGTTACCCAAAGCCCAGCAGGCAGATTGAGACATCTAACTGATTGGTCCTCGAGCCAGATGCCATTTGCTATTGAAAGTTCTTAACACAGACAAAAAAGAGACACAACTCAACAAGCATAACAGAACTGAACAAGGCTTCGGACGTGCTTTGCAAAATTGCTGATGGACCCAAAGTACAAATGAAGTAAGCCCAACTTTCCCAAGCCAACAGTTACCATTCCCACCACCCTCCAGAAGAAGGTAACACCAGGAAATCATTAATCCAACTTGGAATCATCTCATGACCATGTCGTCACAAAAGGCAAGCCACTGATCGGAACGCATCTGTCTTACCTTGGCCATCTGTGCCTGTACGCCATTGGCCTTGAGAGATGCTACCGCTTTCTGTGCTGCAGCAGGACTGTCAAAATCTACAAAGCCATAACCTGTGGAAACACAAAAGCCATTGTTAGTGGGTGTTCTCAAGCTGCCTCAAGCCAAACTCTGCTTGGATAACAGCTAATGACATCCCGCTCTGCTGTCACCTGTGCATGTGTCTGGGCTGGTGGAAGACCAGTGCAGGACAAAAATGCTCTCTCATCAGCAATCCTTACTCCATCCCCATCATTGCAAGTACCTGCTTCAGGAAAGCCATTTCAGAGGTTTTAGACAGAAAGAAATTCATCTCTCATTTCCAGAGGTTGCTCCCTTTGGCCTGGGATTTTTCAGCAGATTGAGTTCCTAAATGAGTTAGCTCATTTACTTTAATTTCAATAATAAGCCAGAAAATTACTTGACCTTGCCAGAATCCCTTCAGCCCTCTCCCTCAGCCCTCACAACATCTGCTTTGTTAAGAAGGCCGGCTTATTCACTTCAATTCAGGGAAAAAAAAATATTAAATGCTTTCTATATGCCAGGCATTGGGAATACAAAGACAAACCGAAATAGTGTGTGTTATTCCAGGGAAAAACAACGTATGTAAAGATAACAACGGCAAGCGTAGAGTCTGTGACTTCATTAGTATAGGGAATTCCCAGGTAAGGAAACTCTCTACCAATACAGATGTCACCTTCTCTGAAACTTACAGTCTTAGAGAGTTGTCTTCAGGACTGAGATGTTAAGAGACTGAAGAGTAATATAGTCATTATGTATCAGAGGTGGGTCTTCCTGGCTTTGATTCTAGCTCTCAACTACCCTATACTGACTTGCAATACACAGACAAGGAAATACTAACTATAGGCAAAGTCAATGCATAGTAATGTTAGTGAAGAGAGCATTGACACCTATGCAGAGCTAGAAGCACTTCAGGAAGAAGGTGCCCCTTGAGGGGAGCCTTGAAGAGTGCCAGCAATTCCAGGAGGCAGGGGTGAGGAAGGAGGGTATTCCATGCGGGGGAGACACCTGGACAAAGGCATGGAGATTGGGAATGAGATATTTTACACAGGGAAAAGCAAGAAGACCAGTTGGATTGGAGTGTGATAGGAAGAATGGGAAATGAGGCTGGAGACACTGTTAAGGTCTTTAAATGACAAGAAGAAAAGTTTGTTCTTTTACTCTAGAGGCAAGGGGGAGTCATGATAGCTTCTAGAAGAAGATAGGAAGCCAGGTTAGGGAGATGCATGAACCCAGCCAGAACAATGCCCAGGAGCCCACGGCCATGACTGTCAGAGGAAAACCCTTAGCGCTGTGAGTGCCGCCATGTTGATATCACACAAGACATCTGTGTCTCTGCCCCATCAAGTGCCATCTAATGAGGACTGGTTAATAAGTAAAATCATTAGACCATCATTTTTTCCCTTGATTCATGTCCATCATTTTTCTGCTAGTGTGCAATCTGAGGCATGGAGATTCTGTTGTTGTCCCTCCATGGGCACATGTCCATGCATACACACAACATACACATATACACACACAAACACACATACATACACACACACACACACACACACACACACACCTCAAAGAACTAGTCAGTCTGATAGAGCCTGACTATATAAGAGTATTTACAGTGACAATCATGCTCATCTACATTTCAAGTCTCAGGCCTAGGCTGAGCCTGAAGGAATCTCAACGGTCAAGACAATTTCAAAAGGAAAACCCCACAGGGATTCTACTCCTGCAGCATCACGGAACACAACCTTCATTGGCCACCCCTTTCTTCTTCTGTCAGTAAAGACTTTCCTCCTCGGTTCTATCCTTCTTCTCATTTGGCACATGCTTATCTAGCCCCAGAAGCAATTTCAATAGCTGGGTGTTGTGACTCCTCCCTACCTTACCTCCCCCCAAAAAAATAACCATGGAAAAGTGCAAAGGAATTCAATTACCAAGTTGTTTCTCTTAATTAACTTTTTAATTTTCTCCCTTTGGATCCTTTCTCCTTTTGTTCCCTCCCTCCCAGTATGTTATTCCAAAACGAACTTCTTACACAGCAGTGGGCTGTAAAATACTCTCTGAAATGGCTCTGAAAAAATGGTAAAGTTTGCGTTTGAGCTCAAGGAGACAGACTGCCCTCTGAGGAATGCTGGGAACATCATGGATCTTCTTACTCCTAGGGGGAGCACTCAGCAACATCCAGGGTAAGAACAAAAGGAAGATTGGCCTGAATGGGCAGAGCGTGACAAATAGAGGAGCCTGTTCTAGGGAAAATGTGCCACATGCTACTTCTGGTAACTTCTAAAGTCAGGTGGACAGAAAGGAATCCCAGGAAATTCATTATTGTTTTGAGAGAAAGGAATGGAGTAAAACTAGGTGGCACAGTGCATAGAACTGTAGGCCTGGAGTCAAGAAGATTTGAGTTCAAATCTGGCCTCAGACATTTACTAGCTGTGTGACCCTGGGCAAGTCACTCAACCCCATTCGCCTCAGTTTCCTTATCTGTAAAATGAGCCAAAGAAGGAAATGGCAAACCGCTCTAGTATCTCTGCCAAGAAAATCCCCAATGGGGTCACAAAAAGTGAAAGAGGATTGAAATGACTCACCAACAACAACAACAACAATTCCAGGGGCAGGCTTTATAAGGATCAGAGCTTGGAAGCTAGAAGGGACCTTAGCGATCAGCTAGTCTAACCTTTCATTTTATAGATGGGGAAACCGAGTTCCAAAGTGGCTAAATTAAGTGCCCAAGGTTACAGAGCTAGTAAGCACTCAAGGAAGGATTTGAATACAGGTTTTGCTGAATACAGGTCTCCCATTCTAAGAACTATGTGATACTGCCTAGCTCAATCAGCATCTAATTATAACTTTTAGTCTATCAATTCCAGCTATACTATTTAGGTGAGGCTTGGGCAAATGATGTTTCGCTTCAATGCGATTCAGTTTCCTCAACTGTTAAATAAGGTCAAAGCTGCTGCCATTACCTCAGGAGTATTTCTATATGGATTAAACTTTTCAACATGGCCCCAAAAGAGCATTCCAATTCCATTATGCATAGGTCCCCTTCCCTCATGCCACAGTTCAACGTGTAGTATGTAGAGCAGTGGGTCTAGAAACCTCTTGAGTTCAAATTTGGCCTCAGCCGTTTACCAGCTGTGTCCTTGGGGAAGTCACTTAATCTCTGTCTTCCTCAACTATGAAATGCGGATAAAAGATCCCCTGTCTCACAGGGTTGTGCTGAAGATCAAATGAGATCATATTTGTAAAGCACTTAGCATGGTTCCTGGCCCATAGTAGGTACTTAAAAATGCTCGTTTCCTTCTTTCCTTCTCTTTCTCACAAATAGCATCTCCCAACTCTGTTCATTGGTACTGGTCATCTCCCTGGAATGTCTTCCCTTTTAACCACTGCCTCATAGAATATGCTACTCCCCTCCATATTTATTCTGCATGTTTTCTCTATATATGCATTCTGTTCTCCTCCCCCAACCCCCAAAAGACTATAAACTCCAGGGGAGTATGACAGAATTTACTTTCTTTTTCATCTCCAGAACATAGTAGAGGCATAATAACTGCATGCTGATTGATTGATAATTGATTGATTCGTTAGCATCAGTGGAACAGAAGTATATAAAGGTTTCAAGCGCTAGCACCAGGACCCTCCAGGCAGGGGCTTTCTTTCCTGGACACTTTACCGAACTGTCTGCCTTTCCTCCAATTCAGGTTTCTCCCTCTGGCTCCTTTCCTTTCCTTCCACCCCCACATGGTACACAGGATATTACAAAATCTCTGCACTGATCTCCAGGGCTGAAATCCAATCCAAACAGAACGAATCCACCACGAGGACCTTCCATTCCCCAAGCCTTCTTAACATCCCAGAAGCAGGAGGAGAATTATGGGATGCCCCACAGTCAGTAAGAGAGAAAATGATTTTTTTGTTTTATTTCTTAAAGTCACAGCACAGCATGGGCCATGTGGAGACATGACACCAGGACACTTACATATATTGCTCATTTTCCATATTTATGCTTTGCAGACAGCGGGGACCCCAAGAGCCTACCAGAAAATGTGTAAAGAAAAGTGAAATCATTGGATTTAAACTATGCCATAGAGCTGAGGGTCCTTTGTAAATATTTACTGTGGAAAATTCAAATAGGAAGGCTCAGTTTATGTGCAATACTTTAAATACTTCACCTCTAGAAATAAAAACCACATTCTCCAGTTCCTCAAGACAGCATGCACTACATTATAACCAGAGGGGAAAAAAAAATCCTTAGCTTCCCCCAGAGAATATTTATCCTTTCACAAAGAAATAAAGCCACTTGCTGCCGGTCATTCCATGTTGCGTTTCCTTTCTGCCAACAATGGAATTTGGATGAATGAGGACCCATGTCCCTGAACTGCTGAGGGAGGGCTTAGCGGAGTGCCCTCCACTAGGAAGGTTTCCTGGCTCAGGACTGAAAGGACCCCGCCATCGAGCATGAACAAGATGCTGACTTTCTCCTGCCACCACCTAAAAGGCTGGGGGGCCTCTTGGTCTCAGTTTCTCAATTACATAATTAAGCTTGGCAGCAGGTTCAAATGAATTAAAACTGAATGTCACTGTTTTCTCAGCACCCCCTGGTCCTTGTTTTTTTTCTTTTTTTTTCTTCCTTGTCGGGAGAAGGCCAGCTGAACAGCAATTAGCGAGAAACAGAGCAGTGAGAAAGAACCAGCTCAGTGCTAATTAGGTCACTTGCCAAATGTATTCATTCCATTGGCAGATTTAATCAATGTTTTCCTAAAATGCTTTAAATCTTGTATGCCAATTTAAAGTTTTGCTATTATTACAGCTTTAAACACAGATGGGAAGCTGAGTGATTCGCAGGGCTGTTTGCCTAAAAAAAAAAAATACAAATAAAGAGAAAGGCATTTGTAAATGGTAATGAACCTCTTTGCACACAGTGAATGCCAAGAGGATTGTATGTGTTTTTCCCCCTCCATCGAACTAATAGGTGGCAGATACGCTGTGTCATTGACCACTCAGTTCATGCTACAACAATCCAGTCAGTTTGCCTTATAGAAAACATGAACAT